CTGGTGGGTCTTTCACCAAATGTATATATGGAAGAATATAGAAGATCCAAATGTAGATTTAATTGAAGATATCAAATAATAATGCAACATAAATGCATGTATACATAGTGTATTGAAGATGAATTATAAGCAAATGTACTTGCACAAAACTTTAATAAATCAAGAAAAATAAGTTAAAAATTAATAGCTTTTTGGGACATATAGACATTAGTAAGCCAAGTTTAGCACAAAGAAGACAAGCTTTTAAGTTAAGATCCATGGTAATATTATGTTTGTACGTGGTACTTTATATTCCATCCAATAGCTTTATTTTCTTCATTCCAAAGTTCTCTTCAGCCTACAAGCCTCTCTTACTTCACCCTGAAGTCTAAAGATTAATGAGCTAAATGATAAGGCTAACACCTCATCAACCTTTTTATATAAAGTAAGCTATTGATGCATGATTGTACATATTATCGCATGCACTAAAGTTTATGCATACATTTTTTATGTGTTCATTTTGCAAAGATTGGGTTCTAATTTTCATCTTATCCAATCATGTTATTACAGTTTTTCAGCATACATCATTATCATGGTTACTTAATTACACTGTTTTTTTCTCATTCAATGAATGATTTATACTTTTTTACTTTCTTCGTATGTTTGACGTAAGGGTTAGTCTACAATATAGTATTTCTCAAGAATAAAGTATATTGTCTATATATCTTCACTTGATTAACATAAAATAAATTAATTTCAACTACGTATATAAATAGCTATAATTTGTAGCACTCCATATGAGATATAGGTAGCTACTCCGATTATGGAGATTAATTTCATAAGAATCATAACAATAACTTATAAATTATTAAAATTTAGTGCACTTGTTTATATATATTCTTATTAAAAATATGAGCAAAATTGAATGTTTTGAATTACTACACTAGTTTTAAAATTCTTTAGACATGACTTGAGTATGGTAGGATAAAGTGTATTCTTTTCATTCAATAATAATAGTCGTCTTAACTAATCTAAACTTATTATAATGTAATTTTGTTTAATTAAAATTTACTTACTTGTAATATATTCTCCATCAATACTTCACATCATTTTAAGGCACTAGAATGAAAAATTAAAAGAAAATCATTTATTTATATTTAAGATAGTGTATTATAAATAATTTGGTCATTCCAAATCAGTGCACATAACATGTGATGATGGTACAGGAGCCTAATATAGTTTCTAAAACGTTAGGCAACGGTTATATAAATACTTTAATAGGCAGCACAATTAGGTTGAAAGAGATTGAGCAACTACAAGACAATGCCCCCACAAAAGGCTCACCTTAGCTTTTAGGTCAGTACATTGCTACTCGTAGTTTATTACTTCTTCTGCCTTTTAAGTGCTTCAACTCAAAGAATGTAAATCCGAATAAGCTAATAGCTAACAGCTCAATTGCCAGCCGTTAACTAAATACAAAAGGTTTTTACGTGTGCATATTTGATTTGACGTTTAACACAGCTGTCCCCTCTTACTAATCACCAGCTTGGCTCCAGCTTTGCTTACCTTGACCCACTCTAATTATAATGAATTAAATCATCACTAATTATACGTAGTACAATTTTAGCCAATTATAATCATAGCTTCCTGATTAATTCATCATACTACGCGCGTACGGAGTACTTTTATTTTATTCTAATCTTTTTACTGTGTATCAGGCCCTGTTCATTCACCTTAAAAAAATAATACTCAGTAAAAATAATTTCACTTCAACAAAAATAATTTCAATTTAGCAAAAAAAATTTGAGTTCAGTAGAAATCAGTAACTATTCAGAAGAAATATAACAGAGAATCGGTAAAAATAATTTCAGTTCAGCAAAAATAATTTCAGTTCTATAAAATTAATTTCAGTTTAGTAAAAAAAGGTGAATTGAACGGGGCCTTATTTTGTTATTTGCTTCATTCTTTAATAGAATTCAACTTTGATTTTAATTTTGACGCTATTTTGAATTTCACTCTAACAGCAATTCATGCATAAAGGAAATTATATTCATAATATTTTATTAATAGATATGAAGATATTATTGTTTAAATTTTTATAGTGAAACAAAAATAAAATATTAAGTGCTAAAGATTTTCAGAAACAAGATTCTAATTTGATGAATAATCTGTTAAATGCGTGTCTGAGTCGCATCCGTAAACTAAGAGAAAAGTCCAAAGGAGGTTCTTTTATGTGGTGATCTAGGTTGCACAAGAACGGATACTGATACGGCTATGGAAAAACGTATATCTCAAAATAAGGGATACGAGTACAGGATGTTAAAATTCATGTACTCCCTCCGTTTTTTTTGTTTTTTTTTTTTTTAATAAGTTAGATATGAGATTGCGAGGAGTTTTAGGTGGTTTAATAAGATAAGATGTTAGTGGGGTAGATATTATTTATTGAAAAGTAAAGTGGTGTGAGAGGGAATGGGGATCATTTGAGGAGTGAGAAATGATGAAGTAAGAAAGAGTGGAGACATTAGTGGGTAAAGATGTATTATTAAATTGTAAGAGATTTCCAAAAATAAAACTCTAGCTTATAAAAAAAATGGACGAAAATAGTAACTCTAGCTTATAAAAAAAACGGAGGGAGTAATATATTTTAAAAAAGGAATTTGACCGTATATTTATTATTCCGTCCTCTCATTAGATCGTCCTATATCATATTAACAATGAGCTATATAAAGACACCCATATTATTTAAGAATTACCTTATTTATCTTATTTTACTTAAATTTTCTCATTTTTAAAAAAAGTTCAACAACCCATATCATAATAAGATACGGTCCGAGACGTATTGTCGTGTGTCCCACGAGTGTCGGTGTCTGACACGGTGTCCGGCAGTTGGATGAAGTGTCCATGTATCCTAGGTGGTGATACTAAAGAGGTATTCTTCAACACCCTCCTCATATGTAAGGTCCCTTTTTTAGGCTAGAGTACTTTTTCACTCCTCCTCACATGGACTTACTATTGGCCCATTAAACTTTAGCCATTTAGGATCCCATATTGTGGGTCTGACTTTGATATCGTGGGCCACACCTGCAAACCATGAGCGAGAGTCTCCATCCCAAAACCATATGGCAATAGGAAGAATATCCCGTTATTAGCCTTATAAAGTGATAAAACTTTCTCTTCTTCAACCAATGTGGGATATTACACTTACATATGATGATACTTGAAAGGTTTATTTTTCCACACTCCTCCTCACATGTAAGGTTCCTTTTAATTATGTCTCATATGATTTTTCGGGTTAGAGTAATACGTCAGAGAAAATTTTTAAGAACATTAAGATAACTGTTGGATTAGGAAGATTCTACTCTTTGAGATTAATTATTCCTCGTATATTACTACTCCGGAAAACTCCATCTTAGTGTCTTACTGTATTAATGTACTTTGTCATCAAATACCTTCATAGTACTAGTACAAAATAGGGATAATGATTAAGAAGCTTCGGTTACAAAAAAATAATTTGATAATCCAAATTCCAAACTGAAAGATCTCACCACCAACTCTTGATACTTTGACCTGGAAAAGATGCAAGTCCGCCGAATTCCAGGCAAATTATAAACGCGGCTACGTCCATTTCAGTCTTTCCCCCTCCGCCACACAAGAAGTATTGTACAATAAAGACCACACTATCCTTATTCGAGTATTACCTGTTTATCACATGCATCTCAACCACATTTAAGTAAGCATATAATTCATTATGTCATATGGATGGATGAGCCAAAAAAAAAAAAAAAAAAATAAAATAAAATAAATAAATAAATGAAATTGGAATCGGAATTAGAGTTCTAGTTCCGAATCACTGTATTGAATTGGAAACTTGTTGTTACGACTCCGTAGTTTTAGTTTTGATTTTGGTTCTCATTTGTTTGAAATTGGATCGGTTGAAACTTGAAACGATGTTAATCAAGCACTTAAAATCGGATAAAATTGCTGAATCGACCTAATCTTAAAACAATTTAAACCCATATTTGAAACAAAAACAAAATGGCAAAATTGACCGTAATACTCTGAAGTATGGCTTAGGTGCACTGAGCACCCTGAACTTAGCGTAGTAGCCAAAACACCACCAACTATTGTGTTAGGTGCAACGTGTGCCATAAATGAAAATTTCCGGCAACTTATTTCACCGGGAGGAGGTGAATCTTCACTCTATAGAACAGTTATGTAGTCTTCTATCCACTTAACACGCATGGATTCACCTCCTCCGACAAAATAACTGGCCGAAAATTTTCATTTAAGGCACACGCCGCACCTAACACCATAGTTGGTGGTGTTTTGGCTACTACGCATAGTTCAGAGTGCTCAGTGCACCTAAACCATACTTTAGGGTGTTACGCCCAATTTTGCCAAACAAAAATGATAACAATGTAAGCTCACATTTAAATCAATTTTGTCAAGCTCAATTTCGCGTGTATGAGACTAAACACAGTCATGTATGTATTTGTTGGGTAATTTGTACTTTATTAGACTAAATCCAGTAATGTGTGTATTTGTTAGAATTTCATTACACAAATATCAATTTTTTTATAATTTATACTCATTTACTGATATTTAAAGATATTATCGATTAAAGTTTTAAATTAGTAGATGTGCAAAAATAAGACATGTATTTTGGAATAAAGAGTGTACATACATCAAGTTCCAATTCCAATTGCTCTATTTGTCTCTGAATATTTAGTCCACTTTGATTTTTAAATTGTTTCTTTGAGTTTACTGCATACTAAAAAGTGTAAATGGTTGTAGTCAGGAGATACCGAGATAGTAATACTTCTCTCATAAATTAACTCCCTTGAATCAAAAATAAAAAACAAACATCATCTCAATGGGATAATATACAAAGTAACAGAGGAAGTATGGATGGATTTTTAATCCCATACCCGTTTTGTTCACCTAAAGCCCTAATCACACACTCCGACCACTTTGGTAACCGACACAATCACAGCCTATATTCTCTTGTTTCTCTTTCTCACGCGTGGGCCCTCCCTCCATCTCTATTTTCCATTTTTAATTTTGTTTTAGAAAATCATACTCCTCTTTACTTCCCAAAGCAAACGGCTATTTATTCTCTCTTCTCCTTCCACTTTTCTCACCACTCTCTCTCTCTCTCCTCCAACAATCAACAATGGCTCTCATAAAAAACATTTCCTCCCTCGTATTACTATTGTTGATTGTATCTCACGCCACCGCCCAATCTCCCTCCGCTTCCCCCACTAAATCCCCGGCTCCAGCCGCCGATTCTCCAACCAATGCCGCCGATTCTCCAACTAAAGCCGCCGATTCACCCACACCAGCTGCTCCAGCTCCTTCCAAGCCGAAATCACCGGCTCCAGAAAAAGCTCCAGCTACGGCTCCAGTAATCTCGGAAACTCCAGCCGAAGCTCCATCTCCATCCGCTAAACCCCCAGTTAAAGCTCCAGTTAAAGCCCCGGCTAAAGCGCCAGCCAAAGCACCGGCTAAAGCGCCAGCCAAAGCACCAGCTAAAACACCGGCTAAAGCTCCCGAGAGTTCGCCACCAGCTCCACCACCAGAGGCGCCGGCTCCTGAGGCGGCTCCACCAACTACTGTCGAAGCTCCGGCTCCGGCTCCCGAGAAGCATCACGCTCCACCTCCGTACCACTGTAAATTCAAGAACAAGAAGCATTGTAAGAAGCATCGCGCCGCAACCCCGGCTCCGGCTCCAGCTGAGCTTCTAAGCCCACCTGCGCCGCCAACTGAGGCTCCTGGACCTAACGGCGGCTTTGATGATTACGGTCCTGGTCCTTCTGAGGATGATACTTCGGTAAGCACACTACTCCACTACTACTTACTCACCATTCACTTTTCTTTTGTTTACTTATTATCATTGAGTATGAATTAATCATTTATATGAAAACTAATTTATCATTAATTAGAAAATTTATTAATCCGTATGAATAAGTTAAAAGATTTTATCTCGCTAATAATGATCACAATTTCAATGAATTAAGTGAGCCATAATTCCGAGTAACTTTTTCCGTACGTTCTAAAATAATGTCAATTATAGGTGGTTGCGTGACTACCGATTACCGAATAGATAGGAATCAAAAGTATACCCGAGATAATTCATGCAATGCCACAATAGGAATAATGGTGGAGAAAGCTGGTGTCCATTTATGGGAAAAAGCTTATAATTCTATTTTTCACCACTCACTTTTTTTTATAATAGAGAAAAATAAATAATTTGTTAAAATTATCATATCCTTATCACTTACATGTGTAAAGAAAGGTGCTCCAATATAAAATGTCCATTATATATTCATATATTATGTTACCTACAAATTCACAATTGTGTATTTGTGTGCGGTGTGCCACAAATATTAACCGGATATATAAGTAACACCGTTATAGTCATTGTATACATGTGAAATTATTTTTGTTTTTATTATATGACTGTTAAAAAATGAATAATAAAATTATAGAACTATTTATATTTAGTAAAAATGTCAACTTGACCTGTGCTTCACTGTTGAATTATAAAGTGGTCTATATGACTAATATGAGTAATACTGTAATAGTCGGTAGAAGTGATGGAACTATTAGCGTGTCAAATATATAGCCGTTGGAATTGACCTAAATTTATTTCATACTTTTGTTTGTGGTCTGAAAAATCATGCACAGTATAATTACATCAGATCATTCATTAAAGCTTGAATGATTTATAGCTCAATTAAATACTACGGAAAAATTTATTAGAACACAAAGTATGTTCAGGGTTTTGATCGAGTTTTCCGATTAGGTAAATTTTGGGAGTTAGGTTTAATAGCGGACATTGAGTTGAACTAAACTTCGACAATGTACTAATTATATAAGAACATTGATTGTGTGGAGTATCCACGTGTGCTGTTGTACACTCACAATATGACAATAGCAAATTGATGATTTCAAAACCTAAATGATTCAATGTGACTAGAGTACAAGTTAAACTTGTACAAATCCCTAAAATGTTGTACTGGAATGAAAAAAAGTCAATGTATACACCAAATTAATTACTAATTTTGTCAAACAAGTGGCTAATTCTTTAATTTATGGCAATATTTTAATCATGTGTTTGATAATTAATCAATTACTAATGTTGTTTAAATCCAAAATTGGCAGAGTGGAGAGAAGATCACATGGGCAACTAAATTGGTGGTCAGCTTAGCATTCGGATGCGCTGCTGTGCTTCTTTTTTAAAGTTTCTAAATAGATTAGTTTCTTCTTTCTCTCACTCGATCTCTTCTTTATTTTTTGTGTTGATGAATTTTTTATTCATTTACTAGCTCATGTCCAACTAATATCACGGGATCGAAATTAGACAAATTGAGCTATATACATTGATTGTAATATTATTTTATTTATTATTGAGCTTATATTATACAATTCCATTCTATTCTATTTATTCAGATCTACCTAATCCCCATGTTGTCAATTTTGTTCATTTCTCAAATGATATTTCTCGAATTCAATTGTCTGCTTATCTTCTAATGTTGTAAATTTTTCGGAAGTTGTTTCGCGGATTATTTTATTAGGTCGATCCAAAGTTAACTATTATGTCGATACTGTGAATTGCGACCTATTCATTAACCATCAATTAGCACTAAAACATTATCCATTAACTATCAATTAGCACTAAAACATTAATCGGCAGTAACTGTGAATTGCGACTTATCCATTAACTATCATTAGCACTTAAACAGCCATGACATGTGCCGCTTCATTAGGCATTTAGGCTCCATAAACACGTGACAAAAGAAAACAACATCACCTCAAAGCAATTACGAGTACCAAAAGTTAGAATATCTTTGATGGTGATATCTTAGTAAATTTTGTCATTTTACTTCTGATTAATCTTGTTCACAACTTTCAACCAAAAACTAACAAAATCATGTCGAATTGGGTTCTCACATTAAGCCCATTAACAATAAGCCTTAGCTCTAGTCACATATTAGCCCCCAAGTTGGACAATTTTTTAACATAACAACACGAATCACATGATCAAGTAAATTTTGTCATGAAATTACTGGTTTTTAAGAGTAAAATTTATATTATGGTACCGAAAACAAGACCTAAGCTTTATTATTCAATTGATTACGTTATTGCAAAATCCCATTCAATAGATATCATTCAAATAGTCATATCAACCTGTGTTGGTTAAAATGTTGGGTGGTGATAATACCTAATATTTACAAAGGTTGTTACATACACCCAAACACAAGGTGCATCCAAATATATTTTTTTGCTCATTTTGATGATTAAAGGATGATTATTGCTTATTTAATCATCTAATGAGCTAAATTGACCTTGAGTACATCTTGCAGGTATATCGTATATATAAAGTTTTCACAATATTTGAGATTAAATATTATTTACATTATACATCTTTCTATTTAGTGGCTCTTTATGAAAAAAAAAAAAAAAAAATCTCTTTCAAACTATGCTCCTTATCATCATTTTAGTATAGACTAACACTTCTTTTGTTCAATTGTTGCAACATTTTGATCTTAAGCTTGCTAGCACATAATTTATACATTATACATTGAGAGATTTGAGACTAATCCAACAAATAACATTACAACTTTAATTTTTTTTATTTTATTTTTTTAATATCTAATTTGTATAAATAAAAGATCAAAATTTGCTGAATTTTACATTACAGAATATAATGTTTCAAAGCCAATAATTATGAATGTAGGAAGTAAGGAAGTACTCCGTATATTTCATATGGATCACTTGAAAATTCAGCCCAGATTACTATGCAAGTTATATGGGCCTATCTGCAATAATTTCTAGCAAAGCCCTGGCCCAAATGGGAAATAAAAGAAAATCTTAGCCCATTAAATGAACGAAAGTGACCTGAATGGTAAAGGTAAAGGAAGAATGTTAGATCACACTATCACAGAGAAGACTTTTTTCGAATAATCCTAGGTCCGTGATATATGATTGATTATATTCATGATTTGGAATTAGACAATGACGTATTAATGTGTATGTAAATGTATGCAAAAGTACTATTCCGTGAGTCCGTGATCAAATATTACGGAGTACTTCTAATTACGTCTACAAAGTATTAGATTTCAGGAAATCTCTTTAACCTAGAGAATGTATCATTGATCAATGTATTTATGTATGTAGCGTTTATAAGACTAGTGCTAATCAAGTTAAGAAACATAGTACGATAAGGATACAAAATATATACAAAATATATTCGAAATCTACGACAAATATTTCTCTAATATATGTAAAGGAATAAACTAATTATCATATTATTTAGCTTTATGTTTTGTATTTATTCAGTCAATGCTTATCATACTCTAGCTTTCCTGATAATAAGGATATATACTTATCCCTCTAGTTTATCTTGATAGTTGTTAGCTAGCTTTGTGGGATTATCTCGTTCATTGTTAGCTATAAATATAGCTTTGTAATTCTGGTTTATTATTCAATTATATAAAACCTTCATAGCTTTTGCTAATCTAATATGGTATCATGAGCTATTGATCCAACTTTTTTTTTCCGCTTCCGCTACTATCATGGCTACACCATCAAAACCCTTTGTCAACGCCGACAAATGATGGTGACCATATTCAACTTCCCTCTCGGATAGCTCCAAACTCCTTATGGACAAACAATCCCTCTTTGGCACCCTGTAGTCTATCTACCATGGAATGCCTGCAAAGCTAATTTTTAACTCGGCACCACGTAGTTTATCTACCACGGAATGCCAATTATCAATTTTTTTTTTCACTCCAAATCCCTTACGGAGAAACAAATCCATAATTCGGCACCTTGTAATCTCTCTACAAGGATAGCCAACTATCATTTTTTTTTCTCCACACCCCTTACGGAGAAACAAAACCATTTTCGACAACCCGTAATTTATCTACCAAGTTTTGTCAAGCATAAACTTATTTCTCCAAACTCTTATGGAGAAACCCACTCACTACTCTCTTAGAATTCAACATATTTCTGGTGATGATCAACTTGCAAATGCTCTCACTACACCTCTTACAGTCACACACTTCACTCCCTTGTGCTCCAAGATTGGCCTCGTCTACAGACCATCCGTCTTGCGCGGGCGTGTTAAGGCATAATCGTCTTTCAAGATTGAATTTTCCCTTCGGCCGTCCATCTTGCGGGGGCGTGTAAAGGAATAAACTAATTATCGTATTATTTAGCTTTATGTTTTGTATTTATTCAGTCAATGCTTATCATACTCTAGCTTTCCTACTAATAAGGATATATACTTATCCCTCTAGTTTATCTTGATAGTTGTTAGCTAGCTTTGTGGGATTATCTCGTTCATTGTTAGCTATAAATATAGCTTTGTAATTCTGGTTAATTATATAAAACCTTCATAGCTTTTGCTAATCTAATAATATATAGTGTGTTTGGATATTAAAAAGGGAAGGAAAAGAAGGGGAGGGAGGGGAAGGGAGGGAAGGAGAGGAGAGGGAAGTTTTCCTTTCAAATTTCTCTATTGATGGAGAGATGAATTTCTTACAATTTAATCCCTCCATTTTTCTCCCCTCCAATCCCCTTCCTTTTTCATTTGTTATCCAAATAAAAGATAACCAATCCCTTCATTTCCTCCAATCCAAACACACCGATAATATCTATCACATCCCTGCAGTCATAGCGGGAGGAGGTCATACGGTAAGCCTGGATCTGAAATCCAAATAAAGTCTTGTGGAAGGTCTTTTGTGAAAATGTCTACAAATTGATATTTAGTAGGAACATGTAGAACCCTAACGTGACCCAAAGCAACCTTTTCTAAATGTTTGCCTCGTATATCATATGGAGTAAATGGTAGGAAATTGGTCCTTTAATATTTTTTTTTATCATAGCTACTTGACCTTTTCTATCCATAAAATATTTTTAACCCAACTAATTTGTCTCTTATTAACTTCACTTAATTCAAAGTTAACAAAATGAAAAATATGTAAAGGTCAAACTAAACATTTAGGGATGAAGGCAATATTATGACTGAGAAGCAGCAAGTATAATAAAGTATAATCTACTGCTCCATATCTTGTACGTTTATCTACAAGAGTAATAAAGTGATCACTAGTGTACAATCTTCAACTAAGACAAGCAAGATCTATCTCAAAACTACATCAACAGCTACATCTTTGCAGATGATGTTAACAATCGAATAAAGTTTCTTTACCACATCGATTCTATCCATTTTGCTCGAAACTGATGATTCAAAAAATATCTTCCTAGCTATGATACTTTATCAACAAGTTTCAAAATATCTAACTATTCTATCTACGTCAACATTCCTGTGGGCTGTGGCTTGTACATCATTCCATGTTTAGGAAAAGGACGTTGCTAACATATTTGAGCAACTTGCACTAAGTAAATTCACTATAAGAAACTAAATTTTTGTAAAACAAACAAATTAGATTACATAAGTTTAAGCAGCTGGTAAAACAATGTCAGCCTTTTCTAAATATGAATTTGCATATCGTAAATATTTCATAACTATATTAAAAAAAAAAAAAAACAAATTATAATTAAACTCTTATTAAGTATGAGGGCCGCCCAATTAATCATCTTGATTGACAAACTTTGTTAATCTTTGTCGCCACATCAGCAGGTTGAGTGACTGGAAGATGATTCAGCAGAAGGAAGGTACACGTCGGAAAGATTTATGTTAACGCCGGTAGTTTACTTCTGTTAGGTCCATTAGTTAGTGGGTGAGTTAGTGAGTTACTTGAGGGTGAAGGTGGACATTAATGACTTCTTTTATTGTTGGTAGTTGGTAGATAGAGACCGGTCAAATTTAGGTGTTTGAATGTTATTTCTTCCCTTCCAAGATTCATACTGTAGCAAATTTGTAGAAAATTTCTTGCGGCAGAAGAATGATTGAAACAGTTGAGTGATCGTTCCAGAGAGATGTTGATTTTGGATCATTTCAAGTGGTGGTAACAAATGGCTAAAATCATCAAAATCACGAAAATGTTTGGAAGGTTAGTCTTGATCTTTAAAATTTTCTTTACGAAAATATTTGTAAATCTTTGTTTAGTACTATGACTTAAAAATCTAAAACAAAATTTGTATTCGTTGATTTTTTAAATTTCTAATGAAATCTTTGATTTACTCACTACTGCAAATATAGAACAGCCACCGCTTCCACCTGTAAAGCCATTTGCATAAAACCGTCTCACAAAATTTGAGACACTATCTAAGAATTTTTATAAAACCAATTCACACCAATCATAGTTTTTGCTATCCATACAACAACTCAACGCCGGTGACAAATCAGATGACAGTCTAGGTGATTGTGTTGGACACAATATCATTTGTAGAGAAATGATGAGGAATAAGGTTTTGAATTCTTCTTCCTGATGCGACTCAAAATGTCCCTCCAATCTATCCATCATCATTCCAGTAACAAGAATGCCAACTGAA